CGGAGACCTACAGGGACTTTAACACAACACGCAGAAAATACAGGTATGTTGGCTCTCAACACAATACCCAGGGAACACAGATGTGCAGGCCAGAAGGGCTACGTAAGTAACACCTGCACAGTCCATCTTAACACTTGCAACCACTTGATGATCTTCCATGAAGCAAAGTTAGTTATTAAAGAAGCAGACCGACGAAACAGGCTTTGCTTAGGATCAACAATGATCGCCACTACTAACTGTTTCACGAAACTCCGGGTCAATTATCATCTCCCACGTTTTCGCAAACTGATCCTGTCTAAAGTTGACACTACCTCACCTCACTCCGTGGACATGACCTTCCTACACTTCAAGGACCTCACCTCAGCCACTATATACACTCATGTGTTCTTGTCTCTATGAAATGATCAGTTCTTTGGCATCTTAATCAAATTCCATAACCCTCACATTGTCATAATTGTCAACATAAGCGTTGCAGTAGGTGACTTCTATCACGTCTACCACTAGCAGTGGTAGACGTGATAGAGTTTATTTCTTAAGGAGGATTAGTCTTCATATTTCAGAGATAGCAAGCTTCATATGTTGTGTGTATTTTTGTCTGAAATGGAAATTAATGATGTTGCAAAGCCTGTTCATCTGTAGGTGTCTGCTCACACTTCAAAACATGTTCATGTACGGATGTCCCATTCCTGGTATGTTCCAGTGTTGCACAAGACCTAATAGGTCACTCCACAAAACTTACTAACCCATCCCAGTGTCTAGTCCCACTGCTGGATTTGCTTCAAGAAACAGCCCAGTTGCACAGCTACCAGCTCAAGGATAGACCAACATGGCAATGCAGTAGTAATAATACATAGTTCAGTGGAACGTGGGCTTATGAGCCTTCAACTGTTTCCTCTATTTATGTTACAATTCATTCCACTGCTGTATATTTTACTGTTGATGAGTTCAGTTGGGAGTGCAAATATAGTATATTTTTCATTGTTTTCCTGTAATCCTGTACAAAAAAATATTGATCCAGACCCATATGAATATTGAAAATTGTGTGCAAGGGAGGCTGATCACACCTTGTTCTCTTATGAGTTGACTCACGACTGTTGATACACATGATCAACCTGGGTAGCTGTTAGATTACAGTGATTCATAACAGTGCTAGGTGAGAGCGTCATTGACCTAGGTGGTGTGATGCCAGTGTCCCAGGCACTGTGACACTGTTGGCCTAGGTCTTATGGTGCCAGCACCCAAGGTGGTGTAATGCATAGGGTGTGACCAACATAGAGAGGGTGTTGCACAGTTGGCCCTCAGGGCAGGAGATCTTTACGCCTGCTTGCCCTTCTGGGTGTCGCAAGCAGTGTTGACCTCACGCACTTTCATCACCACTATGACACTTGAAATACTTATTCCATCTTGTGTAATTTGAGGCGAGTGAATGTTGCGCGAGAATTCGATTGAGTGTAATTTGTTTGGAGGTGTTTGGCTGCCCCGCCTACCACCGCTGCTTTGATGCCATGCCTCGAGTAACTGGATACCCCACCTATCACCGCTGAGGTGGGGTCCTAAATATTAGGACCCCAATGGAAAGAAGTCACTCTGTCTGATTTTCTTGGGTTATCTTTATTTATTTATTTATTTATTTCCAATTTGAGCACACATACAGAGGTACAAAAAAAATACAGATAAGAGCAGCATGCCAAAGCCACTTATACTATGCATAGCATTACGGGCTGGCTTAAAATTAACTTAAGATTAACTAAGCAATGATGAAATCAGTGATAAAACATTAATGTAAACAGATTACTATAAAGCACAAGTGAGTATTACAAAGACAGGTCATATGGTTGCATTCAGTCATATGAAGGATTCTGTTAGGTAGTGTATTTAAAAAATAATTAAAGTTAGATTGGGTTTTAGGTTTAACATTTATGTGATATAATTGTGAGAAACATTTAAGATATACAATTTATAAGGGTTAGTTTTTTCAGTATTTATTTTGGTTTTTGGTGAGTAAGTGATCTTTGAGAAGAGACTTGAATTTATAAACAGGTAGTGTTTCTTTTATATTTACAGGTAATGAATTCCAGATTTTAGGGCCTGTTATGTGCATTGAGTTTTTGCATAGTGTGAGATGGACACGAGGAACATCAAAGAGTGATCTGTGCCTTGTGTTATGGTCATGTGTTCTGTTGAGGTTGGTAAGGAGATGTTTGAGGGGAGGGTTTATGTCAGAGTTAAGTGTTCTATGTATGTAATAGGTGCAGTAATAAGTTAATATCAGAGTTAAGTGTTCTATGTATGTAATAGGTGCAGTAATAAGTATGGATGTTTTGTATGGTGAGTAGGTTTAGTGTATTGAATATTGGTGGAGTGTGCTGCCTGTAGTGAGAATTTGTTATCATTCTAACTGCTGCTATGTATGATAATCTATGTAACTGTATTTGTGCATACCTGAATAAACTTACACCGCTGATCTGATGCTATACCTCGGGTAGCTGAATACCCCAACCACCACCGCTGATCTGATGACATGCTCGGATAGAGGGATACCCCTCCTACCGCCGCTGATCTGATGTCATAAGGCAAGAGAGAGAGAGAAATGGGTGGTTGAGATGAATAAAGACGACCAGAAAAGGAGTACAGGCTCGGAGAAAGGCTGCAAACCCCATTAAAGGCGAAGGACCTCTGGGAGAGCATGCTGCCAAGCATTGTATTTGAGGCACACATCAACGTAGTTTGGAAGTTAGGAGAAGGTGTGGGATTGCCAAAACTGTTGTCCAGAGGGCTGAGGAAGGGTTGTTGAGGTGGTTCGGACATGTAGAGAGAATGGAGCGAAACAGAATGACTTCAAGAGTGTATCAGTCTGTAGTGGAAGGAAGGCGGGGTAGGGGTCGGCCTAGGAAAGGTTGGAGGGAGGGGTAAAGGAGGTTTTGTGTGCGAGGGGCTTGGACTTCCAGCAGGCGTGCGTGAGCGTGTTTGATAGGAGTGAATAGAGACAAATAGTTTTTTAATACTTGACGTGCTGTTGGAGTGTGAGCAAAGTAACATTTATGAAGGGATTCAGGGAAACCGGCAGGCCGGACTTGAGTCCTGGAGATGGGAAGTACAGTGCCTGCACTCTGAAGGAGGGGTGTTAATGTTGCAGTTTAAAAACTGTAGTGTAAAGCACCCTTCTGGCAAGACAGTGATGGAGTGAATGATGGTGAAAGTTTTTCTTTTTCGGGCCACCCTGCCTTGGTGGGAATCGGCCAGAGTTATAATAAAAAATAATATCAACAGAATAACCTTTGTAGTACATCCGTGACTGGCAATTAGAAACATGTGCAAAACCTGGGTAATGTTATTTTTAAGTTCAGCCAAGCAGTGGCTTAAGTTAAATACAAAGATGATTGATGAAATTAAGACACATGTGCACCATCTGGGTATCTCAATTGTAGACGTTTCGCCATCCAGTCGCTTTATTAATACAAATTCTAGAACATAATTTGAAGACGGTAGAACTATATACAGCCTTGGTGTGAAGAGCACCATAGTCGTGGAGGTTCGGGAACATAGGCAAGTAGCCTGGCGCTTATATACAAACGTCAGGTGGAAAGGGACGTGTAGCAGACGAGGACATAGTCACTGGTGGGCGGGGTTCCCCAGTGGAAATAGGTCATACCCAAATGATGGATTAGTTGTAGCAGTAGTTGTCGAAGCCGTGAAGAAGGTTATGTAGATGTCCTCAGAATCAAGATTACATGTCACAGCGTCTGCAAGTTGTGCAAGAATGGTATACAATACCGTCTTCAAAATATGTTCTAGAATTTGTACTGATAAAGCCACTGGATGGCGAAACGTCTACAATAGAGATACCCAGATTTTGCATATGTGTCCTAATTTCATTTTGTCGGTATTGTATACCATTCTTGCACAACAAAGATGATTAACTGGAGAAGAGGGAAACAGGTACATGATAGCACACTCGAGTCTCAGCCAGGATATGAGACTCGACCCCTGCAACCACAAAGATGTGATTACATACACACACACATCAGTGGTACCCAGTAATTATAAGATAAGATTTCGTTCGGATTTTTAACCCCGGAAGGTTAGCCACCCAGGATAACCCAAGAAAGTCAGTGCGTCATCGAGGACTGTCTAACTTATTTCCATTGGGGTCCTTAATCTTGTCCCCCAGGATGCGACCCACACCAGTCGACTAACACCCAGGTACCTATTTGCTGCTAGGTGAACAGGACAACAGGTGTAAGGAAACGTGTCGAAATGTTTCCACCCGCCGGGAATCGAACCCGGGCCCTCCGTGTGTGAAGCGGGAGCTTTAGCCACCGGGCCACAATATATGACTATATATGACTATGACCTGACACTGACCTCCACCCAGGGTGGCCAACCCTCCAAGCAGGGTGACCAACCTTCCACCCAAGGTGGCCAACCCTCCAAGCAGGGTGACCAACCTTCCACTCAGGACTGCCAACTTTCCACCCAGGGTGGCCAACCTTCCACCAAGGGTGGCCAACCTTCCACCAAGAGTGACAAACCTTCCACCCAGGGTGGCCAACCTTCCACCCAGGGTGGCCAACCTTGTTGTCTTGTGTAAGGTTTGGTTCCTCAGATATACTCCAGTATAGTGTTAGGTCAGAGGTGGCGACGCTGCTCCACCTCTGACCCATCACCACTAAGATGCTTCCTCACACAAGTCACAACTAACTAATGAATATCTGATATGTAGAACAGCAGGTCACACGTACTATGGAAATAAATGGTGTAAAATACCGTCACAATGGAAATATAAACACATATGCAGTACGTGATCCCTTATTGACAACGTTTCGCACACACAGTGGGCTTTATATTTCCATACGTACGATACTGTAGATCACACATTAGACAGCAAGACATAACGAAAATATACTAAATAAACCTGGGTAAGATAATGAAAACCATTATTGATTACATATTTTATTGATAAAGACTTACACTGGTTTGCTTGGTAGATAACATGACGATTGTATAATTATACTAAAATAATTATACTAAAATAATTATACTAAAATAATTGGCTTTAACTGAGAATTCAACCAACCACTTTCCTTTTGACTTAAAATGTTACTTATATTGAAAGTTGCAGAAAAACCAATAGTTTCACGGGAAATCGAAGTGTCCTCTGCAGGCAACGTGTTGGGGGGACTCGAAGTGCGTGCTGAAGGAGGGACTTCATCTTCAGTTGAAGTGCACTCAGCAGGGAGAAGCAGGGTGTTGGGGGGACTCGAAGTGCGTGCTGAAGGAGGGACTTCATCTTCAGTTGAAGTGCACTCAGCAGGGAGAAGCAAGGTGTTGGGGGGACTCGAGGTGCGTGCTGAAGGAGGGACCTCATCTTCAGTTGAAGTGCACTCAGCAGGGAGAAGCAGGGTGTTGGGAGGAAGAACAATAGCTTCATTTGATTTGCCCGATGAAGGATTTGTCTTAGTATCACGGCGCCTTACAAATTCCACTGCAGGAAGAACTTCATTGACATGACTGCTCGAAGTGCTGGCCACGGATAGAACCTCACTAACACGGCTACTCGAAGTGCTGGCCACGGATAGAACCTCACTAACACGGCTACTCGAAGTGCTGGCCACGGGTAGAACCTCACTAACACGGCTACTCGAAGTGCTGGCCACGGGTAGAACCTCACTAACACGGCTACTCGAAGTGCTGGCCACGGATAGAACCTCACTAACACGGCTACTCGAAGTGCTGGCCACGGGTAGAACCTCACTAACACGGCTACTCGAAGTGCTGGCCATCGGGAGATCCTCATTAATACGGCTGACTGAAGAACGGGACATGTGGAGGACCTTATTGTCTCTGGGTTCCCTGGTCACTGCTGCTGATTGAACATCTGTGGAATTTAAATATCTCTTGCTTACATTACAAATCTTCAGAGGCATAGAACTGCTTGGACGTGAGTATTTGTAAACATCCAGGTAACTCTTGGTCACCATCTGGAATGGTGCTCTACGTCCGTGAGCAGAGTCGGTCACATCTTCATTTGATTCACGTTGTTGGGCGTATAATTCCCTGCAGCGCTGGATAGCTTCCAAACCCCGCCTCTCGTAATCGGCCTCTGCATAACAGAAGGGACACTCAAAAGTTCCGAAGGCGTTTGTGTTGGCACGGAAGCAGGCCAAACACAGCGTGTGTCCACAACTCTGTTTCTTAGGCACTCGTCTCAAATCATCGAACTGGTCCAAACACATCCCACATTCCTCCGCGTGTCGAAATTTTAGCTGTGAAGTGGAAGAGGCATAATTAACTAAGCAATACATGACAAGTAAATCTACAATAAAAATTAAAGGCACAAAAGGTCTGGTATAATATCGTTTACACAAACGAAAACTGATTGAACATTAAAATGGTATAAAATACCGACAGGTTGTTAGGTAAGACACATATGCAACAATTAGGTATCTTTATTTCGAAACGTTTCGCCTACACAGTAGGCTTCTTCAGTCGAGTACAGAAAAGTTGATAGAAGCAGAAGAGACTTGAAGACGATGTAATCAGTCCATCACCCTTAATGTTTTGAGGTGGTCAGTCCCTCAGTCTGGAGAAGAGCATTGTTTCAGATTTTGGAACAATGCTCTTCTCCAGACTGAGGGACTGACCACCTCAAAACTTAGCTCAGTGGTGACGTGTACTTAGCTCTGTGAAGACCTGTTTGTGTGCTCTCTGTGAATCTGAACCAGGATGCCCTCTCTTGAGCAACTTTACCAGCAGCTGATGTTGCACAAGTGTCTTACTCTCAGCTGAGAGAAGAGCTCAGAGTTGCTAAGATGGAGATACGGCGATTAACGGAGGAGAACAAGAGGATTAGTAGTAATCCTCCTGTTGTGAGTCCCCAGGTTAAGAGGGGAGCTTGGTCAGTGGCCGAGCAGCATGGAACCAAGCTGAAGATCAAGAAAACGGTTGGAGAGGCAGAAACAACGAGAAACCAGAAGACTACCGTGGAAACTTCCAACCCATTCTCGGTGCTACCTGACGAATGTGAGTGTTCTACTGGGAATGCCACAACGAGCACCAAAGAAGCATTGGCAGACGTGAGTGAGACATCCCTAGAAACCCCAACGAAGACCATCGAGAACGTCTTGACGAATTCTACAAGTGGTGTAATGCTACCTGGCGAATGTGAGTCGACTACTCGGAGCATCACGACTGACGACGCCAAGGAAGGTAAAAAACATTGTTGTTGTTGGGGATAGCCAGATTAGGTACATGGATAGGGCATTCTGCTTGAAGGATAGGAGTAGGAGGCATAGAGTGTGTTTTCCTGGGGCTGGGATGAAGGATATTGTTAGCCGTCTGGATGACATTATGAGAGGTAATGGGAGCAATCCTATTATCTGTCTCAGTGCTGGAGGCAACGATGTTGGCAGACGTAGGAGTGAGGACCTGATTAGCAGGTATAGGTCAGCAATAGAGATAATTAGGAGGAAGGGTGGGAAACCTGTCATATGTGGCATTTTGCCAAGGAGAGGAGTTGGAAATGAATGGTTGTCCAGAGCAATTGGTGTCAATTGCTGGCTGGAATAGTTAGGAATAGTTAGTGGTATGGGTTTTAGCGGGAAAACTGTGACGTCTCAGGGTAGTAATATGAGTACTAGGAGAACTAGTAATAGGCAAAATGAGGTGGATACTGGAAAGCCAGTGGCACTAATTGACAAGGACAGTAATAGGTTTAGTGAAATAACAGAAAGGAGCAGGAAGGGTCTTTAAATATTTATTACACAAATAGTCGCAGTGCTAGGAATAAGATGGACGAGTTGAGACTAGTTGCTAGTGCAGGTAACATAGATGCATTTGTCATTACTGAGACGTGGTTTAATTCAAAAAGTCGGGACATGCCTGCAGAATGTCACATTCAGGGTTTTAAATTGTTCCAAGTAGATAGAAGTGTCGGAAAGGGGGGTGGGGTGGCATTGTATGTCCGAGATCGCTTGAACTGTTGCATAAAAACGGATATTAAGTCTGAAGTAACACATACAGAGTCTGTTTGGATAGAATTTTCAGAGGGACTGACCACCTCAAAACTTTAAGGGTGATGGACTGATTACATCGTCTTCAAGTATCTTCTGCGTCTATCAACTTTTCTGTACTCGACTGAAGAAGCCTACTGTGTAGGCGAAACGTTTCGAAATAAAGATACCTAACTGTTGCATATATGTCTTACCTAACAAACGAAAACTGACAACTTTTACCTCGGAAGCAACCGAAACGTTGGCCAGAGAACTAAAGGCGTTGCCCATTGGTGTCCTGCTGCAGCCACTGATGATATTTTGCGAAATTCTGGCTTCCGCCCTGTATATAGAAGCGGCCTTTGGTCCCTTAAACACCTCAGATGTGAGTATTCTCGAAGTTGCTGATCTTGTGACCACAGTTCTGGCTTCCGCCCTTTATGTAGCAGCGGCTTCAGGTCCCCTAATGACCTCAGATGTGCAAGAACGGTTTGTTTTACGAAGGACCTGCCTGTCCACACATTTGTCCAGCCTATTCCCACCGAAGAAACTGTGAGAAAATTATTATGAATCTTGATAAAGAATACTGTGTTATTAATTGATAACTCCTGAGAAACAAAAAGGAGACAAATTTAGTACAGTTTAGATTGGTTTGGAAATAGGATAAAGGCGACGATTAAACCTGCCCTAATTGCTATCAGTAACACTAAAGTCCGGTAGTTACAGTATCTCAAAATTGTTAATCAACAGGATATTGTGATAAATGGTTTAAAAACCGACAAGTTGAAGATTGAGACACAGATGCAACATACGGGAATCTTAATATCAAAATGGTATACAATACCGACAGGATGGTTGTTAAGACACATAGGCAACACTTAAGCAAATTCTACGACTGTAAGGGTGTTAGGTAAGACACATATGCAACAGTTAGGTATCTTTATTATGAAACGTTTCGCCTACACAGTAGGCTTCTTCAGTCAAGTACAGAAAAGTTGATAGAAGCAGAAGATACTTGAAGACGATGTAATCAGTCCATCACCCTTAAAGTTTTGAGGTGGTCAGTCCCTCAGTCTGGAGAAGAGCATTGTTCCATAGTATGAAACAATATGTGATGGACTGATTACATCGTTTTCAAGTATCTTCTGCTTCTATCAACTTTTCTGTACTTGGTAGGTAAGACACATATGCAACAGTTAGGTGTCTTACCTAACAATCTGTCGGTATTTCACACCATTTTAATGTTTTTCTGTACTTGACTGAAGAAGCCTACTGTGTAGGCGAAACGTTTCATAATAAAGATACCTAACTGTTGCATATGTGTCTTACCTAACAACCTGTCGGTATTTTATACCATTTTAATGTTCAGACTGTAAGGGTGATGGATTGATTACATCGTCTTCACATCTGGTAGGTAAGACACATAGGCAACAGTTAGTAAATTAGACACATGTGCAACTCTTGGGTATCTTTATTGAGGAAACGTTTCGCCACACAGTGGCTTCATCAGTCCATACAAAGGAGAATCTTGAAGAATAGGAGGAGAATGAGGTAATCAGTCCCTCAACCTTGAGTCGATGTGGTCAGTCCATCAATCTTGAATAGAATAGATTCTCCTTTGTATGGACTGATGAAGCCACTGTGTGGCGAAACGTTTCCTCAATAAAGATACCCAAGAGTTGCACATGTGTCTAATTTATCAACATGTCGGTTCTCTGAACCATTCATCTACAGGCAACAGTTAGGCAACTTTATTCCGAAACGTTTCGCCTACACAGTAGGCTTCTTCAGTCGAATACAGAAAGTAGGCAGGAACAGTAGAGATGTGAAGACGATGTAATCAGTCCATCACCCTTGAAGTCACATCTCTACTGTTCCTGCCTACTTTCTGTATTCGACTGAAGAAGCCTACTGTGTAGGCGAAACGTTTCGAAATAAAGTTGCTCAAGTGTTGCCTATGTGTCTTAACAACCATACGGGAATCTTAATTGAGGAAACGTTTCGCCACACAGTGTAAGGAGATGAGGTAATCAGTCCCTCAGCCTGGAGTCGATATAAGAACATAAGAACATAAGAATGTAGGAACACTGCAATAGGCCTACTGGCCCACACGAGGCAGGTCCTTATCAAAACGACATCTACCTAAAGCTACTCAAGAAACAACTCCCGCACCCCCCAACACCAATCAAACCCAGTTCAGTATGTACACGTGGACTGAACACATCGACTCCAGGCTGAGGGACTGATTACCTCATTCTCCTCCTGTTCTTCAAGATTCTCCTTTGTGAGGAAATGGTATGGTGATACCGACAAGATGTGGAAAAAGACACTTATGTACAGTTCAGGACATTTATTAAAGGAAACGTTTCGCCACGAGTGAAGAAGCCACTCGTGGCGAAACGTTTCCTTTAATAAATGTCCTGAACTGTACATAAGTGTCTTTTTCCACATTCTCCTTTGTATGGACTGATGAAGCCACTGTGTGGCGAAACGTTTCCTCAATAAAGATACGCAAGAGCTGCACATAAGAACATAACATAAGAACATAAGAATGTAGGAACACTGCAGAAGGCCTACATGTCGGTTCTCTGAACCATTCATCTACAAATACGTATGGACTGATGAAGCCACTGTGTGGCGAAACGTTTCCTCAATAAAGATACCCAAGAGTTGCACATGTGTCTAATTTATCATCAGAATTATTAAAGCTTATTTCTTGGGTGGCATTGAAAATTGTGTTGGGCAAATATTTTGTTAGTGGGATGGATTGTGAAGGACCTGCCAAGTATGGGCCAACAGGCCTACTGCAGTGTTCCTCCTTTCTTACGTTTTTATGTTCTTAATATAAGAACATAAGAACATAAGAACATAAGAATGTAGGAACACTGCAGAAGGCCTACTGGCCCATACGAGGCAGGTCCTTATCAAAACGACATCTACCTAAAGCTACTCAAGAAACAACTCCCGCACCCCCCAACACCAATCAAACCCAGCCCCTCCCGCTCATATATTTGTCCAGTCTCTTCTTAAAGCTACCCAAGGTCCTAGCCTCTATCACCCCACTGGGAAGACTGTTCCACGCATCTACAACTCTGTTAGAAAACCAGTACTTACCTATGTCCTTTCTAAATCTAAATTTATCCAACTTAAATCCATTATTCCTGGTTCTTACCTGGTTCGACACCCTCAGTACTTTATTAATGTCTCCCTTGTTTATGCCCGTCATCCACTTATACACTTCAATGATATCTCCCCTCATTCTACGCCTCTCCAGAGAGTGGAGATTTAAGGCTTTAAGTCTATCTTCATACGGGAGGTTCCTTACACAGTAAATCATTTTAGTCATTCTTCTCTGTATGTTCTCTAATGAGTCTATGACCATCCTGTAGTAAGGGGACCAAAACTGAGCAGCATAATCTAAATGAGGCCTCACTAGTGATGTATAGAGCTGTAAAATAACTTTTGGACTTCTGTTACTTGTACTTCTTGAGATAAATCCAAGTAATCTGTTGGCCTTGTTGCGCACACTGAGGCACTGCTGTCTTGGCTTCAGATTTCTGCTTACCATGACTCCCAAGTCTTTTTCACATTCTGTATGACCAAGCTCTACTTAAGAACATAAGAACATAAGAAAGGAGGAACACTGCAGAAGGCCTGTTGGCCCATACTAGGCAGGTCCTTTACAATTCATCCCACTAACAAAACATTTGCCCATCCCAATTTTCAATGCCACCCAAGAATGATAAATTAGACACATGTGCAACTCTTGGGTATCTTTATTGAGGAAACGTTTCGCCACACAGTGGCTTCATCAGTCCATACAAAGGAGAATCTTGAAGAATAGGAGGAGAATGAGGTAATCAGTCCCTCAACCTTGAGTCGATGTGGTCAGTCCATCATCTACAAAGCCACCCAAGAAATAAGCTCCGATGTGCAAGTCCCACTCAAATCCAACCCCTCCCACTCATGTACTTATCCAACCTAAATTTGAAACTACCCAAAGTCCTAGCCTCAATAACCCAACTAGGTAGACTGTTCCACTCATCAACTATCCTATTTCCAAACCAATACTTTCCTATGTCCTTTCTAAATCTAAACTTATCTAATTTAAATCCATTACTGCGGGTTCTCTGGCAATATAAACACAAATGCAGTATAATGTGATCCTTTATTGACTACGTTTCGCCCACACAGTGGGCTTTTTCAAGTCACAAACAGAACTACCTGGGGTGGAAGGAACGCGAGTATTTATAGTCCGGCTGAGGTCAGGTGAAGAATGCTGCATCTGATGATGTACCGAGTTGGGTTGTAGAGTCTAAAAACTTGGGTAGCTTGGAAAGAAGACTGGACAAGTTTGTGAGCAGACCTTCTACAGTGTTCTTATGTGGGATAGCGATGAAGAAGTTTCTTGGCAAGTGGTTCAGCTATGTTATAGAAGCCACTATTCTGGTTGAAGTTGTCGGATATAGAAATAAGTGATGATTCCAGGATTCTTCGGTAATGGGTGTTGTCTTCTGTGGCGATAAGTCCAAACTTGTCCAGTCTTCTTTCCAAGCTACCCAAGTTTTTAGACTCTACAACCCAACTCGGTACATCATCAGATGCAGCATTCTTCACCTGACCTCAGCCGGACTATAAATACTCGCGTTCCTTCCACCCCAGGTAGTTCTGTTTGTGACTTGAAAAAGCCCACTGTGTGGGCGAAACGTAGTCAATAAAGGATCACATTATACTGCATTTGTGTTTATATTGCCATTGTGTCGGTATTTTATACCATTTATTTCCTGCGGGTTCTCTCTTGGAGAGACATCCTCAAGACCTTATTACTATCCCCTTTATTAATACCTATCTTCCACTTATACACTTCGATCAGGTCTCCCCTCATTCTTCGTCTAACAAGTGAATGTAACTTAAGAGTCTTCAATCTTTCTTCATAAGGAAGATTTCTAATGCTATGTATTAATTTAGTCATCCTACGCTGAATGTTTTCTAACGAATTTATGTCCATTCTGTAATATGGAGACCAGAACTGAGCTGCATAATCTAGGTGAGGCCTTACTAATGATGTATAAAGCTGCACTATGACCTGTGGACTTCTGTTGCTTACACTTCTTGATATAAATCCCAGTAATCTATTTGCCTTATTACGTACGCTTAGGCATTGCTGTCTTGGTTTAAGGTTGCTGCTTACCATAACCCCCAAGTCCTTTTCGCAATCTGTATGGCTAAGTTCTACATTATTTAACTTATAAGTGCTAGGGTTATAGACACTCCCGAGCTTCAGAACCTTGCATTTATCCACATTGAACTGCATTTGCCACTTTTCTGACCAAGAGTAGAGTTTGTCTAAATCCTCCTGAAGTTCCCTAACATCTACGTTTGAATCAATTATCCTACCT